ATTTTGGAAGCTAGAAGTCTCAGATAAAATCATATTACATAGCTTAAGGACATACCTTAATTTCTGATGTTAAAACAAAAGCCAAAATATAATATATATTCTTAGCATAAATATAAGTACTGCTAAAAAATAGTCTCATGATATTTTATTTAAATCTCTGTTCTATGAAATGGAGCACTTGTAGTTCAGAGGAAAGAAGAAGAATTTATTCAAATTCCCAAATACTTGATACTTAAATAATTGCACATGTTCAGTGTTGAGTCATTTAGTTGACATATATTTATTAAGTGTTTGCTCTGTGCTGGAGATCCACAAAGGACTAAGACACTAGTAACTGTTTCCTCAAGAAACTTAGTGTTTAGCTATGAAAATAAATCAATACTGTTCGTGGGGTTGGGGGGAGTGTGGGGGGGGGATTTTCTGTAAGAGAAGGCTTCCCAGAAAAGAGACCTCCACTCAGTCTGCTCAATCTGGAAGAATAAGTAGTAGGAGGACAGCCAAAAAAAAAAAAAGTCATGAAATAGGCAGAGGGAGCAAGGTTTATAAAGATACCCAAAACTAAGATGACACTGTGTTGCTGAACAACCAAGCAGTTTGTTCTGGCCAGAGTCTGGGTGTGAGCTTTTCTTGGAGGACTGTGAAGGAGGGAGTTGGGCTGGTGTGCAAGAGCAGGATCACGAGAGCTTAGAAATTTGAAATCATAAGAATTTATAAGAAATTTGAATCTTGGGCACCTGTGTGGCTCAGTTGGTTAAGCGACTGCCTTCGGCTCAGGTCATGATCCTGGAGTTCTGGGATTGAGTCCCACATGGGGCTCACTGCTCAGCAGGGTGTCTGCTTCTCCCTCTGACCCTCTTCCCTCTCATGCTCTCTGTCTCTCATTCTCTCTTTCTCAAATAAATAAATAAAATCTTTAAAAATTTTTTGAACTTTATTCTGATTTAATTTTATAAGAGTTATTGATAGATTTTAACAAGTAGAGGCTGGTCATATTTGTATGTTAGGAAGTATAATGTGGTGGACAGTACATAGTACTGGAGAGTAGAGTTGAATAGATCAAAACCAGAATTTTTAAAAATCCAGGGGAAAAATACATACTTAAATGAAATCACAGTTGGATAAATAATAATGATAAATAAGAGGAGACAATTTGAAAAATGTAAGGACATGCCCTCACCACTATTTTTTAACTAAATTAATACAGGGGTAAGAAAAGGGGAGAATGATTTAAGAATGACTCCTAAGCTACTGAGTGAGACCAGATGTCAATAATTTAAAAAGAGAATACAGGCAAGGGAACAGATTTGAAAGAAAACTGGAATTTACTTCTAAGTATGCTGATGTTGAGTTTCTCTGGAAAATATTTGCTCACTCAGCTCATAAACCTGTTCTCCTTGCCTGCCTCTATTACAGAGGCTGAATCCAAATACTCAGTTTTATTGGTCTGCTTAGCAACCAAGGTACCCATGTGACAATCATCTAGCCAATAGCATGGCCAAAAACATTGCCCTTTCTCATTTTTGCCTTCCTCCTGCCCTGGATGTGAGATGTATAGAACCTCAACAGTCATTTTAAGAATATAAGCATGAAGGAAATACCAAGTAAATCCCTTAGTCCTTGACTTGAACAGTATCAAAGTTGAAGAATCTACGTCATAACTGTCCATCTCCTCTTGTTTTCTTAAGTCACCTAAGAAAACTCTTCTCTTTTCTTGCATCCAAATGCATTCCTAACTCTGGGGTAAGATTTCTTATGGTGATGTCTGGAAAAGGTTGAGTTGGCTCTGCCTACATGTCTCAGATGCACCCTGATCATCACCATCAGTACTGCATGAGACTGATACCACTCTCTATTCAGCTGACACTCTGTCCAGAGCACTCACTGCCAAGTGCAATAATTAACATGAGAGCAGGACGCATGGTTCCCAAATGCTAGTTTGGTTCTTCTTTTCTTTTTTTTAAGAGCAAGAGAGTGCAGGCATGCATGCAGGGGCAGGGTGGGGGCGGGGTCAGAGGGAGAGGGAGAAAAAGAGAGAGCAGGCTCCATGACCCTGAGATCATGACCTGAGCCAAAACCAAGAGTCCAGTGCTTAATTGACTGAGCCACCCAGGCGCCCCAAATCCTAGTTCAATTCTTAAACCTGAGGTTAGCTGGCTTCACAAAAAGTGTCCTGAGAACCTTTTTTAAAATGTGGGCCCCAGCCTCAGTGATTCCCATCTAGCAGTCTGGGGTAAAGCTCAGAATCAATCACTTCTCTTTTTGATTCTGGTGATTGGCTAGGGTTAGTCTATCATTAGAGCCTCTGAACTTGACTAGAGAGAATCATTTGGACATTTAATGTTATATATTATTACCCTCTCTCACATCCCTACCATTTACAAAATGCAACTCCAACCAAATGTCAATCCTATTTATTCCATTACACTTTATTCTTTTTCTCCATTATTAATCCTCATGCTGCTTTGTCTTCCTCTCAAAAGTGTAAATATGCCATCAACCCTCATTCTATTTGAAAAACAAAAAACAAAACTCTCTGCACCCTCAACTTCAAAGAACTTACTGTGTGACCTTACCTGGATACTGGCTTTTTCCAAAAAGAAACTACTTCTTTGCACTTCTCCAGAGGGATGACATCCTTTCCCAATGCCCCAGTAAACACAAGGCCTAAAATTAAAGTCACCATTCTTCTAAATCCCTGATGTTGATTCATTTATTCTTCTGTGTGTAGAAACGTCTTGGCTCATGACGTCCAACTTACTGCCCTGGGTCATCCATGCATCCATATTCATGGAAGACTTCAGTTTGGGATTTCAAAATCTTCTCTAGTCCCAAACCTTGTAATGTTGTATAAATTTAATATCCATGGGAAAGGCCTAGCCAATAACTTTGCTTTAAAATTCATGCCTTATCTTCAGTAAACTTTATTTCCACACCACCTCAAAAATGATATGGCTGTAACATTATCTGGAACGATCATCTTAGAAATTATAGACACCAATATTTTTTCTATTTGACCATGACCTTTCATTGAAGGTTCAACTTTTTGTGCTCTCACTCCTGTGACTATTGCTTTTTCACTTCTATAGTGATCTTATAGAGCTCTTTTAAGTGCTTACTAAAAATCTGGCATTTGTCTTTGGAATATTTATTATGGTCCATCTACATTGGCCTTTGTCCCAGTAGATGGATCATGGGTAATTAAGGAAATAGCTTTGGTTCCCGGGTCCAAAGATGGAGAGAAAGTTCATCTGTGAAATGATAGCAGAGTCCTATTACAGGCGATGTCAAGTCCCAAGCACAACCCCAGCATGCTCCTGTGACATTTGTAATGCACAGTTTCAATGGCAGAGGCCAGGTCCTAATTTTCCTTACAGTTAGGAAAAGTCCAGCCAATAGCTGATTTCATTCCTTATTTTCTTTTGGGGGTGATTAGCTAGACTGAGCAATACATAGGACTAGCTGGGGATCATTTTGTTTGGCAGATCTCAGTTTCTGCAAAAACTATAAAATGAGATATATAAAGATCCTGCTGAAGTGATCATAGTTAGGGACTAGCTGCCCCATTACAAATAAAGCTGAAGCTGGCCACGCTCTGGACCCAGGAATACCATGCAGGGTAACAGAAGAGAGAGCATGAGGAGAGATTGAACGGCAGAACAGACGTAGTTGTGTCTGCTTTGCCTGCGGTCAACAGTATATTCTCTCCTGATCTATTGCTTCCCTTCCGATAAATCCTATAAATGTTACCTTCTGTTAGTGAAAAGGCATTGAGGTTTATACTTCTAGGAAATGGGTGGAGCTTACAGTCTGCTCCCTTAAAGTTCTCCATTTCAGTTTATCTATATTTCAATTTATCATATCATATCATGATTTCTCATCTAAAATATACTGAGAACTGAAAATATAAAAATGAAAGAAATCTTTTCGTGTTCCAGTGTGGAAGGAGCTGTCAGCAGCTCCTATAAAACTCTACCATGGTCTAAGTGGCAAGAGACACATTCCTATAAATCTCTTATCATACCAGCACAAGTGCTACTTAGAATCAAAGCATAATACAGGCATCCTTTATCAAGATTCCTTAGTCTCCTTTAGGTAGATCAACTCATCTCTTCTGTTCTTGAGACATAATTGACCACAACTACCAAATCTTTGTACCAAATTAGAACTTAGAATCCTCTTTACAAAATAGCTAACTTATTATGCTATATCATAACATTTAAAAAGGAAAAAATCTATCAACTATCTATAATCATATATATGATTCTTGCATGATCATTAGACTAAATTAATTTATCCTGACCAATTGACAATTTGAACATTAAACTTTTCTATTGAGAACAATATGCATGGTGAATTGAATAGAATTCAGTTAATATAATCAAAGGACCAATATGGATAATTTTTTAGATCTGATATATGTGGCTTATTGATTTAGTTGTTTCAGTCTAAATAGAAAATAGATTATAACTAATATGTCTCTCCACTTGTGTCTTTCAGTGGAAGAGTCAAATTCCCCAAGAAGATAATTTCAAGCCTAGAGAAGCCAGTTTTCACCTAGTCTCCTAAAGGGCAAGGAGTTCTCTTGGTGAGATTTACCTAGCCAGTGTAAACATTGCTACAGTGTTTCAAATCTGAGACTAAATGATCACTTCAGCTCTTTAGAGCATCAGACTCAGTAAAAAAATAGCCTTTTTTCACTTCTGGCATAAACCTAGACATTGTTATACAGTGGAAAATCACCCACTTCAAAACATCAGGCAAAAAAAGAGAGAAAGAAGAAAGAAAGAAAGAAAGAAAGAAAGAAAGAAAGAAAGAAAGAAAGAAAGAAAGAAAAAGAAAGAAAGGAAAGAAAGAAAAAGAAAGAAAGAAAGAAAGAAAGAAAGAAAGAAAGAATTATACAACACTTTCATTTCGTTCAAAGAATGAAAGTCATTACACAATGTTTAAAATGCGCTGAATTTATATACAGAATAAGGATCAAAATGAGAAAAAGTTCTTACCATTTGCAGGCAAGCAGCCTGAACTGAAAGATATATCATCAATAGCTATGACTTCATCCTGTTCAGGAGTTGAAATTATTTGACCTTGAAAAACAACCTGCACAAGAAAAACAAAACAAAAGCACAAAGCAAGGAATATCACTGTCTCACAGTCTTATAGCACATAGCCTACAAATAAAAAACATGTCACTTCCTAGAAACACTTTGGTGACCATGCCAATTCCAAGTGGAAAGAGATCCACGCATACACTCTCAAGGACAAGAAAATATAGTCATCTCTGTATCTCAAATGTCTACCATAGGTTATGTAACATGTTTGTGAAATGAAGCAATATTCATCTGGTTTTTGCCATCTAATCATCTCTGGTTCATATGTGTTCATACTATTTAGTATTTACCAGCTCTCGGACCCAGCTCCATCTTGATCTCTGGTTCTTGGTATTTTGCAATTGTGCCCTATTTCCACCTCTGGTTCTCTAAATTTTGTTCACAGACTTGCCTTGGATATCCATGTGCTATATCCTTCTGTGCATTTTCTGCCATTATCTAAACAAAACTTGGGACAATGACTAGAAATGATTGTGCAGTGACTTATTACTAAAATGAGTGAACGTGAGGGGTATTTGTGTGGCTCAGTCGGTTAAGCATCCGACTCTTGATTTTAACTCAGGTCATGATCTTTGAGTCCTGGGACTGAATCCTGCATTGGGCTCCATGCTCAGCGAGGAGTCTGCTTGAGGACTCTCTCTCTCTCCTTCTCCCTCTGCCCCTCCTCCCACTCGCACTCGCTCTCACTCACTCACTCTCTCTCTCTCAAATAAATAAATAAATCTTTAAAAAATGAGTGAATGTGATATTGTGATGTAAATCCAGCCCAAGCCTGCACCAAGAGAAAATACTCTGGTATAATAAATCTGAGAAACTTAGGAAGAAACTACTCTCCAATTTCATAGTTACTGCAATCAACAGAAAATTGGTGTGTTGGTGGAGAGTATTATCCCAACCTCACTAATGAATACCAGTGATGTTTGAGGCTTAATTCATAGATGCATTAAACTGTGTGCATTATTCAGCCCTGCTTATAATATAAACATTTTATTATTTCAAAATGTCAGCACTGATTTTTAGCTTGACAACTGATCTGCATACAGTAGACCCTAGCAGATCATTTTGTCATAACACATTCTCTTTACAACATGATGTACTGATATATTTCCTTTCAAACCAGATGCCATCTACTAGACTATTAAAAATATGATGTGAAACATCCACAACCTATTGAGTAATATGTCAACATGTAGCCCTAAAAGAGTCATCTTTTTTTTCACATAAAACAGAATAATCATGTGACTACTTGTAAAGCAGGACCATGTTGGAAAAGGCCTATCAAAGACTGTTGTGTAGACAAAATAATCCACTTGGCATCTGAAAAGATGAGCTCTGGTTACACATTTGAAATAGAAAGTTTTGAGGAAAAATAGAAATAGGATAGGAAAAGTACTTGGCAAACAGTAGTAACCAACTCCAAATGTTTTTACTACAGATTGTGTGATCTCTGGTAGAGACTAGATCTTTCTGGGAATACATACATGAAAGTAGATTAAATGTGACTAATCTCAAGTAAACCACATCTAGAAGACAATAGTTACAGAGTCTAGTCTCAAGGTTTATTTGTAGCACCCAGCAGATCAACTTTTACAAAATCCCTTTACAGTGTATCAGTAACAGAATCATGAATAAAATGGGAGAGTTTTACATGCATACTAATTGATTATTTTCTCGGTATTTTATTTCACTACTTTTCCCAGAATTTTCTGTAAACCTAACTACTTAGTTTACAGTTTTAGTCATTCTTTTTACAGTTTCTAAAAATTTAGTTTGTAGATTCCATTTAGTAATAAAATTAGTGGGTATCTTTTGCTATTTAACATTTTAATATTACTTCTGATACTAATATAGTTTTGGTTATTAGATTTGGGCTACTTTTTTTTTTTTAAGTACGCTCCACGTCCAGCATAGAGCCTTACATGAGGCCTGAACTCAGTACCCCAAAATCAAGACCTGAATGAGATCAAAAGTAAGATGCTTAACTGACTGAGACACCCAGGTACCCCAATTTGGGCTACTCTTAGTCATGGAATAATCTTACGTTTGTACTGATGTAAGATTCAATGAATGACTTTAGCTGTATGAATATAATAGTTAATCTGCAAATATTTTGCATCCCTTTTGTGACCTAACTTACATTTAAAATTGTCTTTGCAATTTTGCTTTGCTGTTCAATAAAAAGCTGTTTCAGAGGGGAAAGAAAAGACTGTTAAATAGGGATGATTTTATCTGAGGGCAGAGAGCACAGTGGCTAATGTATGTGTTTGGAAAAAGACTACTTAGGTTCAGATCCCAGCTATACCACTTAATAGCAACAGGACCTTAGAGAAGTTATTTAACATCTCTGTACCTCACTTTTCTTCTTTGTAAAAAGGTACTGATAAAAATAATAAGCTATTGGGGCACTTGGGTGACTCAGTTGGTTAAGCATTTGCTGGGATTGATCCCCACGTCTGTCCTTTGGGCTCCCTGCTCAGCAGGGAGTCTGCTTCTCCCTCTCCCTCTACCCCCCCCCACCAGTTCATGCTCTCTCACAAGTGAGCTCTCTCTCTCCCCAATAAATAAATAAAATATTTAAGATAATAAGTTATTACCTATATGGTAAGATTTATGCAAGGATAAATGAGTTCTTACATGTATATCAGCACTTGATATATTGTTAGTATTAAAAAAGTATTTAAAAAGTTACCTATTATCGTAACACAGAGTTATCATAAAGTATTTAAGCTATTGTATGAATAGCGTGTTTATAGATAAAAAAAAATCTATTCTCTACAGATTAACATTTTATCCTTCTTGAAAGCCTTTTCACCTGTTTTTGCTGAACTAAGAGCACACTAGTGGTAACCATATTTAAAGAAAGAAGCAGAAATAAATGTGAACTAATCAGCAGTCTCTTCTTTTCTCCACACTCTCTTCTCAAACCCACTGATCTTCAGGGTTTCAACTGTTACCCTGAAACACAAATTTATATCACAAATGTCAACTGCCTTTCTGAGCTTTCCACCAGTATCTCCACAGCCTGCTGGACCTTTTTACCCAATGACACAAAGTCACTTCTAAGTCATAATATTTTTTCCCCTCACACTGGACCGGTCCCATGACTCCCATTCTCTGACAATGGCACCAGAAGACTGCCACTTTTCAACGCTCCAAACTCCAAAACGGCTTGCAGAATCATGTTTTCTTCTGGCCCCACATCCAATCCATCCAACAAGACTTGTGAAGCCCTCTCTTTTTTCTATTCCTATTTCCGCTCCTGTATCTTCACTCCTGATCTAATGAAAAGGCTTTTAAATGACCTTCTCACCTTCAGTCCTCTCCATCGGAGTTTGCAATGTGTATATTTGTTTGAGTCAATTAAATTATACATTAACTCGGTGTAACTGAATGAAAGTTAGTGTGAAAATTGGCTGCCATTTGAGCCCACTGGTTCAGCAAGAGGAAATGTTTTTCTTAAGGAGAACACTATTTCTCTAAATGTAGGGAAAGTCACCAATGGGTCTGTGTAGCTATAAAACTTAAGACCCATCAGACATAACTCAATACTCAAGTTAAATATATTTAAACAGAAAGACTTTCCAGAGATTTTGGTTGGGATCCTGAAAAAAAGGGTGGGTTGAACTAGCTCAAGAAAGTGGAATCTCAAGATGATTTTTTCTAAAAGCCAGGTCTAGGGTCAGAAGCCATGTTTTTGTATGGTATGGTAGTTGTATTTCTAAGAAAAGTGAGGTCTAGCATTCTTTGTTTTCCCCAAAACTTTGGCAAATATGTTTTTCCAAACATCCACCTCATTTTAAATGTATCAGGGGAAATAAAGCAAAGAGTAGCAAACTAGCAAATAAAATAAACCCCGATAATAGTGTTAGGAATTTGGCAACGTCACAGAAGTCAGGTATGGGCTACACTGATCCAAGAGTAAATAACAGACAAATTGCTTTCACCCCCAAACATTTTAAGAGAAGATGGCCTCTGAGGGAGGCAAGGGGTCAGCACTCAAGTGCTTTAAGATTTAAATCTTCAATGAAACTTTGGCAGTAGCCAAATAATGAACATGGACTCACTTGGATGACACTAATAACTGCATGAACAGAACCTCTTGTAGTTGTATTTACCGTATTAAAGTTTTCTTAATCAGTAGTTTGCATTCGATATTATTTCTCAGGCAAACGTGTGAAATGCAAAAAGATGACAGTAATTTTTCACCATCATGTGTTCACAGAGCAAATATTCTTGACTTACAAGGGAAAATGACTCCGATTATGATTTAGAAAAGTTTGAGAATAGAATTTTTTAAGTTAATGATTTGTATTTTATTTTTTTTTTTAATAATTTTTTTATTGTTAACCACCATACATTACATCATTAGTTTTTGATGCAGTGTTCCATGATTCATTGTTTGTGCATAACACCCAGTGCTCCACACAGAATGTGCCCTCTTTAATACCCATCACCAGGCTAACCCATCCCCCGACCCCCCTCCCCTCTAGAACCCTCAGTTTGTTTTTCAGAGTCCATCGTCTCCAATGGTTCGTCTCCCCCTCCGACTTACTCCCCTTCATTCTTCCCCTCCTGCTCTCTTCTTCTTCTTTTTTTTCTTAACATATATTGCATTATTTGTTTCAGAAGTACCGATCCGTGATTCCTCAGTCTTGTACAATTCACAGTGCTCACCATAGCACATACCCTGCCTGAATAACTTATCTTTCATCCATGTTAATACAATCTATTGTTTCTGAACACAAGGCTGCTAAGAACTCTTCAGCAGGTCGAAATGGAATGTCAACGAAATGATAAGTAGGTAATAGCATATTAAAAATGCTCCAGTATCTTTTTAAAATTCAGGCACTGACTTCTCATTTACTTTGAGAATCCAAACATTGGACGTGAAAACCACAGTCAGTGATATACTTAGTAATACAGTATTCATTCCTTCCTACCCATAAAACCAATACATAAGCGCCTTCAAGAACAAAGAAAAGGAGAGTG